GAGTCTAGAAGAATGTTCGTCGAGGGGGGGATGCGACAAGCTGGTGTTGCGCCCCGATCGACGCGCCCAGTGGGGGGAGGCGGCGGGTAATAAGAAGGGGGGGGGGGGGGGGATGCGAATGTAAGCTTTTCGATGGTGTGTTGTCATGCCAAGATCGGGGCGATGCTGCCAGTCTGTTGTTGGTGTACCAAGTTCGGTTGGGTGTGCTGTAGGAGGGTGCCCCGTACCTCAGCCAAGCATCACGACAAGTCGAACGTTGATATTGGATGGTGTTTTGGAATCAATGCTGTTCTGGAATGCTCCGAGTGGCATGTAGGATGGAAAAAGGCCATGTGCCCTTTTCTTCTTTCCATTCGATCCGTGATGCTGGGACAACGCTACAGACGACGCTACAGAGTGACCCTGCGCGCCTCCAGAACAGTGAAAAAAGGGTGGCTGGGGCGGAAGGGGGAAAGCGGAAGGAAGGGTTGGTGGGGTGGCTGGGGTTCTGGGCTGGGTCGTGGTTGCTGTGCTCGAGGGCGCTTGTCCCTGGCGGCGTGCAGTGGAAGAAGGTGAGGCCAGGGCGTACCGTAGGTAGGTAGCTAAGGTAGCTAAGGTAGGTACCGACCAGGGAAGGGCACAGCGGTCGTCACGGCCCTGGTCGCCATGCCAGGCCCCGCCACCTGCATGACTAGGCTCGTCTCGTCACATGCCATTCTTTGCGCGCGTGTGCGTGCTTCATAGCGAGACGGGGACAACGTGGGACAAGAAGGAGAAGAGGGAAAAAAAAGAAGAAGAAAAAGAAGGATAGAAAGAAAAAAAAAAAAGGGCAGAGAAAATCCTTGAAAAATCATTGCTCTCATCATCGTGCGTCCGCACTCTACGCTCTAATGATAGAAACAGAAACGACACCAGAAATGGTCGTCATGAAAACCCGCCTGCGCCTTAATCCATGCCATGACTGAGGATCCCCCAAGCAGACAGCGCCCATGCAGTATCCGCCAGAAGGCAGAATCCGGTCACCCAGCCAATATAGATATACAACCCCAGTGTCCGTCCCTCGTCGCATATTTCGCAGCACTGTTGCTGTCCTCACAACCGCAGGCCCCTTCCCACCACCGTGCTCATTGCTCCGTGCCCCGTGCCCTGTGCCCTGTGCTCCGTCCCGTGCCGCACGCTCACAGCAGCGACTCGCCCAGGGCGCAACGCACGAGGGAGCAGCCGGCCCTGATGGTCTCGGCGGCGCCAATCTCCGTGTCGGCGAGCGCCGGGTTGACCTCGACGAGGTCGACGGCGATGAGGCTGCCCGTCTCGTGCACGCACTCGCAGATGTAGTCCCCCTCGCGCAGCGTCAGGCCGCCGCGCACGGGCGTGCCGGTGCTGGGCGCCCACTGGGGGTCGAGCGCGTCGACGTCGAACGACAGGTGGATGGGCGTGTCGGTGCCAATGTGCGCGAGCGCCATGTCCATGACCTTGCCGATGCCGTGGCGGTCGACGTCGTGCATGCTGAACGCCTTGACGCCGTTCTCGCGCAGGATCCTCTTCTCGCCGGCGTCGACGTCGCGCAGCCCAATGTACACGAGCTTCTTGAGGCTCAGCATGTTCTCGTCCTGGAGCCAGCCGAAGCAGTCGCGCTTCCGCCTCCTTGGCGAGGCCCGTGACAAACGCCACGGGCATGCCGTGATGTTGCCGCTGTCCGACGTCTCGGGCGTGTTGATGTCGGCGTGGGCGTCGACCCAGATGACGGCGATCTCGCGGCCGAGACGCTCGCGCGTGGCGCGCGCCGAGCCGCCAATGGTGCCGACGGCGATGCCTGTGGTCGCCGCCGAGCGTGAGCACCATGCGGCCCTCCCTCGCGTGCTCGTAGACCTGCGTGGCAATGCGCTCCGTCACGGCCGAGACGGCACGCGGGTTCTTCATGTTGCGGACGGGCGCATCGTCGGCGGGGATGATGTCCTCGTACGAGTGGACCTTGTCGTCGCCGTGGAGGGTGTAGCCGAGCTCGGCGCGCAGCGAGGTCAGGAGACCGGCGTCGATGAGAGCCTGGGGGCCGTGGTCGACACCTGCCTTGCGCTGAGAAGGGCATCGTGGTTAGGCGCGTGTTTGGCAGAGCGGGGGGAGGGGTAGAAACTCAGATCGAACCGAGCCAAGTGGAGTGGGTGGCTGAACGTACCTGACCACCAGAGAAGCCAGCAACGACAACGCCAATGTCCTCAGGCTTGTCGAGGAACTTGGACTTGACCATGGAGGTGCACAGCGACATGGCGTCGAAAGAAGCGGTATGTGTGTATGTATGTGTGTTGGGGTGGTGAGGGTCAGCCAGAGAGGACGACGAGCTGGTTGGTCTTGCGTCTAGAGGGGTTCTTTTGCGTCAAACTCAAAGAAGCACCGAGGGAAGCTACGAAGGAGCTAAGAAAAATGGAAGCAAGAGACGAGGATGGGAGAGAGAGAGAGAGTGAGAGAGAGAGAGAGAGAGAGAGAGAGAGAGAGAGGAAAACGAAAGCTGCCACGTCCGAGCAGCGAAAAGCAGCTCCTTATCTACTCTCCCCAGAATGCTCGGCTCGGAGCAAGCGACAACATTCCTCGCGACGTCCGCACCCGGACCACCCTCCCGAAGCCCTCGCCCTCTGCCTCTGTGCGCTTCTCGAGAAAGCACGGAGGGGAAGAGTGGGGCCAGCCCGGCAGCACCTGCACTTAGCGGACACGGAGTCGGGGCACCTGCACTTAGGGGACTGGCAGCGTTCGAGGCCCCGCCCCGGGCGCAGTGGTGTCTTCCCCTAAGTGCAGGTCCAGGCTAGAGCGCGGCCCAGGGCGATTCATTTTTGCGCGCGCGGGTCCTCCGGGCCAGCGAGGGCAGCGAGTGCAGCGAGAAGGGGGGGGGGCTACGTAATCTTGTGTCCTCTTGTCGCTCGAAACGCGCAATTAAGTAATGGTTTGCTATCGCCTGTCGACGCCTCGGTGGTATCTAGCTTCATACCGCTGGTATCGCGCATCGCGCGCCGGCCCAAGGGCGCGCGGAGGCGGTCAAGTGACGCTCGTCATATGACCATCCATTCTTTTCGTCGCCATAGAGAGGGGGGGGGTCTGATCACTCTTCTTCGTCTCACCTTGGGTAAATCACGGCGCCACCATGTTTTTTGACCGCACGCACACGTACATTCATTCTCGAAGAAGCAGTTCTGCATGAAAATCGAGGGAGAAAAAAAAGATAACATGGATATATGCGCGAATGCAATCGGCCATGTCTAAGGTACCAATCCGGTCCGGGCCCAGCCTCGTTCA